AGAGTGAGAGAGAGAGAGAGAGAGAAAGAGAGAGAAAGAGAGAGAGAGAGAGAGAGAGAAAGAGAGAGAGAGAGAGAGAGAGAGAGAGAGAGAGTGAGAGAGTGAGAGAGAGAGAGAGAGAGTGAGAGAGAGAGAGAGAGAGAAAGAGAGAGAAAGAGAGAGAGAGAGAGAGAGAGAGAGAGAAAGAGAGAGAGAGAGAGAGAGAGAGAGAGAGAGAGAGAGAGAGAGAGAGAGAGAGAGAGAGAGAGAGAGAGAAAGGGAGATGGAACGAAAAAAAAACAAAAAAATAAAATAAAAGAAAGCGAGAAAGAGAAGTTGCATTAATAAAATAAAAAAAAATAGGAATAAGCAAACCACACGATGCAGAAACACACACACAAAAAACAACAACAACAACGGAGACAAAGAAAATATACATAAGAGGCAAACGAGAGAAAACAACCTCGTCAAATTTGTATCCAACACCAGCCAAACAGAACCAGAGCTCTGACCCTCCGACAAAGCGAGACAACAAACACAAACTGACAAATATATTGTATATTTCAGCAAACAAGGCAAAATGTATGCGTGAATCCGGTAATATTAATTGGTTGTGGAAATAACACTGATGATTCTTAGATAAATATAAATATCGATATTATTACTGTCAGTACCTGTATTAACAATATTAGTAGTTTTTCTATTATAATGATAATGATTATGAAGATGATGATGATGGTGATGATGGAGATGATGATGATGATGATGATGATGACAATGTTGATAATAATAATAATAATAATAATAATAATAATAATAATAATAATAATAACAAAAATAACAATAATAATAATAATAATAACAATAATATTATTATTATTAATAATAATGATAATAATAATAATAATAATAATAACAATAATAATAATGATAAAAAAATAATAAGAGTAATAGTAACAATAATAATAGAATTATAGAACTGCTATAATTATCAAGGTGATGGTGTAAAAGTAGTGTGATATGTGTTACTTATAGATTTGAATATATATATATATATATATATATATATATATATATATATATATATATATATATATATACATATGTATACACACACACACACACACACACACACACACACACACACACACACACACACACACACATATATATATATATATATATATATATATATATATATATATATATATATATATTTGGATATGTATATATATATATATATATATATATATATATATATATATATATATATATATATATATATATATATATATTTGGATATGTATATATATATATACTGGACCGTTCTGACATTATTTTGGCTATATATTTATCACTTCATGTCCTTCTTGCACTCCATCGAAGGTCAACATAAACAGACGACTCACATAAACACTGGCTTGGTAAACCTTCCACTGAACAACTACACAGAAAGTTATCTGTGAATTCTTGACTTTAAAGACCATAGCCCTTGGTTGTAATTGGCAGGGTTGTTAACCAATCAAATGTTCTTGTACTTTCCGTAGTAATAATTATTCGTGAAACAAATAAGGTTCTTCTAATCATACTTGGTGTTCTTTTGATAGTCTGTCTTCCTTCCCTGTCGTTTAATGAAATCAGTTTCGTAGGCTGCCTTTCCATGGACTACAGGATTTATTTTTACAGATGTTCTCCTATGCTACACTAAATCATCGATGGCCATTGCGCCTAGGCGAGGCCATTCCATAGTCACTCCAATGGATGTATTCTTCTGATTTTTCGAGATAAATGGGATGAACATATTCCTTGTGGTATCATCAGGTTGCTGAATCATTTGTATGATATTTGGAACTACTCTTATCAAAAAAGTCGATATTTGAGTTCACCAGTGACAGATGTAAGGGATGCCTAGCAATTATACCTGATCATTTTCAATTGTGTTATCCTGTAGTTACTTGCCCATAAGTATTTTTAAGGTACGGCTATAGTGCTAGGCTTTACAGTATGTCAGGACTTTGTTTTGCATTTAAAAAGTAGCCACTCTGAGGATAATTTGCAAGATCCCACAACTTTTTTTACTCAGGCCTGTTAGATCATCGGCGTATGTTACTTTTTTGAAGCTGGTAATGTCATTTCTAGTGCATACATCAACACAACTGTCTATTGTTGTCCTATCAGTGAACATGATCTTTGGTTCTCTGTCCCCACTGCTGACATTAATAATGAACAGATCTGCTGGTACAGAAGGCCAAAGTTCGCACCACCTAGAATTATCGATCCGGGATGCATTTGAATATAATGTATTTAAAAATAACACTATATATCTTGCTGATAATAAAACATATTTAATAAAGGTCTAAGCACAGGTCTTTCACATTTGAATGTTTTGAACAAGATAGTATATGAGAAAATAGACATTCTGTGTTTTAATTTTTAAGTCGAATGGTATTGCCGTCACCTATACTCATCACAGTTTACACTCGCTACAGGATGAATGTTCCAAAATAATGGTAAAATAGAT